TCGCGCGGGGAATCCAATGAGCATAGTGGCTCCGGCTGAAAATGCACCGTTTTTGAGATATGGGCAAAAACGTGTGCGAAATTTTAGCGTTTTTCGAAAATTTTGAATAACTTTTCGAATTTTTAAAATTTTCAACATCTGTTTTCAGATTCGGCTTTCTCACGTTCGCGCGCATCTGAAACATATGTCACATAAAAAATACTCGGTAACATAAAAAGTACGGGTTGTACATAAAATCTGACCTAACCACGTGAAAGAGCGGGTCGAAATACCCCTATACCGAGCTCGACAAAGACGAGGCTAAAGTGGTTCTGGATAACATAAAATTCCCTTTAAATTATAAAGTTTCGCAGTGTTCCCATAACATCTGGCCTTACCCGACCCCTGGACGTGAAAGAGCACCATCGAAAACCTATATCCCACCGGGTTAGCCAGATGGGCACTCACATGTGTCCTGTCTAGAGCGTGCCCAGAATACCACCTGAAAAAAGCATATTCAGTTTGAGAGGGTTCCACTGCCCCGTCTCTTGATCCGAGGTCGGGACATGAAAGGGCACCCTCGAAAACCTATATCCCACCCGGAGATAGAGACGAGTCACTTCATGTTGCCCCTTTTACATAGCAAACCCTGTTTGTGCATAACCCCATGCCGTATGATAGGGTAGGACTGCCCGTTCTCGTGCTACCGGTCCGGCATCTGAAAGAGCACCCTTCAGAACCCCCCTTCCGATGCCGGGGTCAGGTGAGACTCCATACTGGAAGCCAGTATAAACGAACTTCTAAAATAGTGGGTGTGCCACATATATGGTACCCTGTTGAAGTTGGAGTGGACCACCCCACATATATGTGTAGTACACCGTCTGATGTACCCCCACACAAAGTAACACTCTCCAATTCGCCCTGGGGCAAAAGTTATAACTCGTCAAACGCAACAAGCAAAAGTGTGTGTGTGTGAGGCAAATACCAGCAAAAAGGTAGACAGCACCCGGACTTCCCCGGTGGTCACCCACCCGAGTACTACCCGAGCTTGAGGCTGCTTAACTTCGCAGAGCAGACGGGATACGGTGCTTTCAGCCTAAGATGGCCGTCTACACCAACTACCGCTATTCATACCCGACACTCACACACACTTAAGGGGTATATGTGGACACCCCCAGGTGGACACAGGTGGACACAGACGGGCTAAACGTCCCTGGCAACCCCCCAAAGTCGGGGCTGGCTGGGTGCGTGGATGGCTACATTTTGTGTACCCATTTCGAACAGAGGTACGCTACACCACCCAATGTGCGCCACACGAGGGGGGATTGAGGGAGGTGTGTGGCACACACAGACCAAACGTGTGGCCAGCATTCACCGCCATTTTGGACAGTTTAGGGTACCCTGTGACCTACAATACTACATGCACTATGCCACATCATGGGTACACACATACACACCCAACACCTTGCCGTGCAGATAGCCCCGCGCTCCATATTCACGCACACGCACACACACGCTAATGCACGCACACCAAGGTGTCCATATACCTTCCGCACACGCGTGGTGACGGCGTATGCGACATGAATCGCCATATTCGCGCATGTACACCGTAGTGATGCATGTTCATCGCCATATCCAGCGCCACCTTCCGCCATCACCTCCATCTTCACCCCCATCACCTTCCTCCATCCACGCTCATCACCTTCCTCCATCTTCACCTCCATATCCAGCGCTTCCTCGCCGTCACCTCGCCGTCACCTTCTCCATATTCGCGGCGCTTCCTCGCGCTTCCTGCCTAATGTTAGTCCCATACAAAACCACGCAAAACCCCATACAATTAAAACAGCGCCAACACTTAGCGATTTTTCGCAAAGTCTTTTGCTTCATTTACCATACTTTATCCTAGTCTATTTCTACGTCTTCTACGCCTACGCTAGCTACTTATGACCCGTTTCTGCTACACTCTCAGCACGCCAAAGGCCCCCCGGACTTAGCCGAAGACCCCCCGACGCCGCTGGCACTTTGCGGTTTTCGCGCAAAGTACTTCCCGCCTAAGACTTTGGTCGACCAAAGAACTTGGTGAGGAAAAGAGGTTAACAGAGTTAGGCAGCCCGCCATGCCGATCTACTACCGACTTGGCTCCTTTCGCCGCCCCATTAGCGAAAGTAAATCACTTTAGTTTTGTCAGCCTGTACGGTCGGCTGTTTGGTTTATATGTTTTTGCGGTTGGAGGGGGGGGGAGAAATGTTCATTTCTGAACAAATCAATAGAACAAGGGCTAAATCTCAGCAGATCGTAGTACAAGACTACTCTCATGCTTACAACACCCCGTTCTGTAGTTAAGTCGTCTACAAAGGATTTATCTTTCCCAATATTTGAAATTACAAGTCAGCCTACTCTCCACCGCCAGCACTTGACAGGCAGCGGAGTGCGTTGCAATTGTATGATGTTGGGTGCCCAGAAGACACCTATCGCTATTCGCGGCACATCGGGAAAGGTGATTATCGTCTATTCCAGCATGGATTCTGACTTAGAGGCGTTCAGCCATAATCCTACAGATGGTAGCTTGGCGGCACTAGCTTTTCAGCTAACCGCAGTTACCAATTATCTGAACCAACGGTTCCTCTCGTACTGGGTTGGATTACTGTTTAGACAACGAACTCATCAGTAGGGTAAAACTAACCTGTCTCACGACGGTCTAAACCCAGCTCACGTTCCCTATTAGTGGGTGAACAATCCAACAATTGGCGAGTTCTACTTCGCAATGATAGGAAGAGCCGACATCGAAGAATCAAAAAGCAACGTCGCTATGGACGCTTGGCTGCCACAAGCCAGTTATCCCTGTGGTAACTTTTCTGACACCTCTAGCTTAAAATTCTAAAGAACTAAAGGATCGATAGGCCACGCTTTCACGGTTTGTATTCATACTGAAAATCAAAATCAAGTGAGCTTTTACCCTTTTGTTCTACATGAGATTTCTGTTCTCATTGAGCTCACCTTAGGACACCTGTGTTATCATTTAACAGATGTGCCGCCCCAGTCAAACTCCCCCATTCCGGATTTTACCCTGTCGAGCTCACATCGATCTCGACCTCGCCCCGTCTTCGTTCGCGCAGACACCGCCGCCGCCGCCGCCGTCAGACCTCTCCACGGAGTGCTGTCGTCCGCTGCCCGAGCTCCCCGTCGCCGCTGCCGCCAGTCCCTCTTCACGGAGTGCTGTCGTCCGCTGCCCGAGCTCCCCGTCGCCGCTGCCGCCAGTCCCTCTTCACGGAGTGCTGTCGCCGCTGCCTCGCTACTCGCCGTCACCGCTGCTGTCAGTTCCTCTTCGCAGAGTGCTGTCACCGCTGTCACGCCCTCCACTGCCGTCGTCGCTGCCAGTCCTCTTCGCGGAGTACTGTCATCTACCTCCAGTCTCCGTCGCCGTCGCCGCCGTACCCGTGTTCGGTTGCTGCTGCTGCTCACGCCTTGCTACCGCTGCTTGCGTTGCCCAGACAGTTAGGCGCCTACAGTTTTCTGTGGGCTCATCCCTGCTGGACGACAAGAGCTCGTGCGCTAAGTCTTTGCCGCAAGGTCTTGACTGGGGTTGCCTCAAATACAGTGTAGTGTGGGTTGCCAAACGGAACGCTAAGACGTTCTAGACGTAGCCCGCTGCAAAGCCTTCATCTACGTGGAGTAGATTGGGCATACACGGTAGTTGAGCCTCCACCACCCGCAAGGCCGCAGCCAAGCGACCCGTTCACTTCGTCCGCGCGGAGCACCATGCCCGCTCCGCCCCACGACCGCACGCCCCCGCGACCGGCCCCATCGCGCCCCGGTGACCGGCGCAAGCCGCCACCCCCGCGCTTGATGCCTGACGACTCCTTGTTTCGAGCCAGTCTGAACCGGCTCTGTGATGCGTCCTCTACCGACGTCGACCGCCGATTTGCAGCGCTTGCGCCCCTTCCCACCCCTGTCGAGCAGACGCAATGCACGCAGATGTGGATCCCAGCTGGCCGCGTCGCTGCCGAGCACACCCTACGTGAGGTGCTCGCGTCGCTGGACTCGGATAGCCAACCGCAGGTGTGGCGAGATGCCAAGCCCCATCTTCGGGATTTCAACACCTCCCCGCGCAACGGCATCTCCTTCGTCTGCACCTCCGACCAAGTACTTCAACGCCTTGGAGGGGTCGAGCTGACGATCTGTGGACAATCTGTTGCGATCCGACGCTACTCCAGCTACGACAAGCTGTACTACGTGGACTTGAGGCGTCTACCGGCTGATACTACGGACCTCGCGATCTACGACTGGTTCGTCGCCCGTGGTGCTCGTCCTATCCTGATTACGCCGTCTCTTGGCGTTGGTCAGTTGATTTCCCGCGCACGCACGGTGTATTTCAACGCTGTCCAATGCCCGGACGCGCTCTTTGAGCCCAACGGTGAACCGCTCCGGGAGATCTACTTCACGGATGGGGAGAAACCCTGCTTTGTACAGCACCGGCTCTTCCGCCTCAACCGTGTGAAACCCCCATCGCTTCGCCAATCACCTCGCAAGGCTTCGGCAGTGTCTGATGCCAGTATGCGCGGTTCTGACGAGGCGGCTGCGCCACCGCTTGATTCCTCGCGTGTCTCGCCACCACTGGATCCCTCCGGTGCGTCGTCGTCGCAGACCTACCCGACTGTCTCTTCGTCGTCACTGGATTCTTCAGCTGTCTCATCAGCGCTGGATTCTTCGGATGTCCCGTCTCGTACGTCATCCGGCCGCCCCCGCTCTCAGGCCGCGGAGTCGCAAATCCACCGAGTGATCCTAGGATCGGTCAACGCCCGGTCGGACCCCGAGTGGAAGCTGGTTCAACATTCGCAATACGGTATCGTGAATCGTGGAGGTGGGAAGTTCATCGAGCCACCCGGCGCCATGCCGTGTGAGCTCTCTGAAGACTCCTCGGACCCCCATGCGCTGGTCTATTCGATCCCCGTTACGCCCAACACGTACCGAGTCCTGGCCGATGAAGGCTTTGACGAGTCGCTTCCGCCAGATGCAGACTTGGAAGCCGAACTTGTTGAAGATGACGGGATGACGACGCCTGTTTCTGGTTTTACCGCCGACTCTGCCCTCCTTCCGGATGAGGAATTCACTCGCACCCTCAAGAGTGTCCGCCAGATGGATCTGAAGGTGGAACGGGTATCTGTGGAGGAACTTCAACTAGCGATCGACGAATTTCTTGAACGCGACGTGCTTACGTACCAGACGCACGAAGATGTGCTCGCCGCTATCCAAGCGCAACCCGCGTACTTCCGCCGGATCTTCTGCCTCCCGGCCGACCGCCAACACCAGCTGGTCAAGGCGCACGCGGTCTACCGCACCATCTGTGCAGAGCCGACCCAGGAAGATGAGTCCGGTGCGTACCTCGATCGCCTCCGTGGTCGCTACGATTCTATCGACTCTGTTGATGCCGCCGCTTTCTTCGAGCGTATGTTCCCGGGGCAACCTCAACAGGATGCGGCGTTTCACAGCGCCCTATGCGACTTGTTCCTGATGGTCTTCGCGCCCGGTATCTACATCGACCCCATCAAGGTTCAAGCAGTGCTCCCAGACCGTTCCGCTCCAAAACGGCTCCGGCATGCACCATTCCTGCTCTGGAGTGACCTTACCCTGATGTACGTCGCGCGCAGTGATGTCTGTACACTGTTCATGGACGACCGACGCACTCCGACGATGGTGGTGGCGGCGTTGCAGCATCTAAAGTCGGTTGACATTCCTTCGGCGGCTGAGGCCGGACCTTCTCGTTTGGTCCACCCTCGCCTCTAAGGAAGTCTGGGCTTTTAACGGAGTCTCGCTTAACATGAATGGGATGAATGCAACCAATCTCAGCATGTACGAGCGACTTCTCTCGACGCATCAGTTGGTGGCGTTCCAAGAGACGAAGTTCAACCAAGAAGACTCCATGCAGACCAACGACCATCACATCCGCACGGCTGACTCTGGGGCGCGCAGCTTCTGGTCCCACACTACGTCCGGCGTGTTCAACGAAATACGTGGTGTGGGCCTTGTGATGTCCTCCGCGTCCCCTTTCGGGGATGTAGAGGACCTCACGGCTCGCGTATCCAAACCTCAGCTCTGCAACCGTTATTTACTACTCAAAACCACCCTCGGTGACAAGCGGGTCTACATACATGTGGTGTACGCACCTGATGATCCCCGAGCACGTGGCGAATTCTTTCGTGCGTTACCTGTTGACTTCGACGACGACGGCGGCTCTGTTGACGACGGAGCTGGCGACAGCGGCGTGACGCACATCGTACTGGGCGACTTTAATGTCACGCTCAATGACAACCTGGACCAAGCTTCACCGTCCCTTAACCAGCATCGCCCCGGCCGGGCGGAACTTTGTGATTGGATGGACGCGCTAGGGCTGATGGATGCCTGGCGCTACGTGAACCCAGACGTCCGTGACTTCACCGGGCCGACGCGAACAAATCGGATCGACTACTGCCTCCTCACGGTGGACCTGCTACAGGACCATCTGGCAACCGTTCATCACGTACGGGACCGCAAGTGGCATCATGAAGATCACATCCCGGTGGAATTCAGGCTTCAGGCCAAGTTCCTACCTCAGATGAAACGAGCCCCCTGGCGCTGCCCGACTTGGCTTCTTCGCAACTCCGACGTCCAGAAACATCTGATTGCATCGGCAGAAGCTCTCGCCGACCGCATCAAGATCTTCCCGGGTGCGAACCCTGGCTGCCTTCTGGATGAGCACAAGCGTGTCGACTGTATCTACCTGCGACGGAAATGGTTAGAGCTTCGAAATGCTGACGCGAGAGCAATGGCTGCGAAGGTGGAAGCGGCAAACGACGCGGCTGACCTCTTCAACGTCGCGCCTACGGAGGAAAACAAGACAGCGTTAGACCAAGCACAAGAAGATCTCAAAGCGTACCGAGCTTCAATCAAGGAACGCAATGAGTTCAAGAAATTCGCAGCGGACTTACACCAGAGCGAACGCGCCACGAAGTACTTTTTCCGGGCACCGCAGAAGGACTATCTTCGATCGCCTATTACCGAGCTGCAACAAGACGACGGGACCGTGACGGAAGACCCGGCCAAGATCGCGGAAGGTCATCGCCGCTATTGGGGGAAGCTCTTCCAGTCGACCTCTCCGGATCTCAAGTCTTCTCGATCAGCTACGTACCAACCATTACGGCTCGCCAAGCTGCTTAAGGACACGGTGGCCAAACTTACGTCTGCCCAACAAGCAATGCTGGACGCGCCGCTGACGGCGCACGATTTCTACCTGGCCATCACGAAGTCGAAGCACGAGAAAGCCCCGGGACCGGACGGACTGCCGATTGAATACTACCAGGTGGCTCCCGACTTGTGGGCGAGCATCTACGTGGTCATACACGGCTTCCAGTTAGCCAAGGGCCAGATGACCAAGTTTCAACGGCGCGCTCATCTGTCGCTGCTGTACAAGGCTGGTGACAGGTCCTTACCGGAGAACTATCGGCCCCTTACGCTCCTGAACCACGACGCGAAGCTGGCGCCAAAGATTCTGGCTCAACGACTTGGGGAGGTTCTACCTGCAATCATACACGAAGATCAGAAGGGGTTTGTTCCCGGACGCTCCATCAGGCACCTCCTCCTCCAGTTTCAGGACCTTCAAGAGATCTGCCGCGCCCGATATCCGGACGCCTGCGCTGTTCTCCTGGACTTCGCCAAAGCCTTCGACAGTGTCCTGTGGCCAGCTCTGGACATGGTCCTTCAACACTTCGGAATCGGCGCCACGTTTCGAGCGTGGGTGAAGACTTTCTACCATCAGACTTCAGTCAGTCTGTTGCTGAACAACTCGCCTGGCGACCCGTTCCTTCTGGGGGCCGGCGTTCGGCAGGGCGACCCACTCTCCCCAGGTTTATTCGTGGTGTTCGTGGAGCCGCTCTTGAACTTTCTGCGGGCGCGGCTTTCCAGTCGCGGGTTAGCTGTTGAACACGTATCGCTGCCTCACTTGCTGATGGCTTTTGCCGACGATTGCACTGGGCTACTGCGGGACGTCAACGACGCGACCACGTTTATCGGCCTTGTCCAAGAGTATGCAGACGCCGCCGGTCTCCGACTCAACGTGAAGAAGACATGCATCATGCCCTTCACACGTCATGTATCGAAGGCTAAGCTGGCTCACCTTCGGCAGTCGACTGCCCTCAAGGTGTTGAGCGTCACAGACACGGTGAAACTACTGGGTATTCTACAGGGCGCGTCGGTTACCGATGACCAACGGCTCGACGCGGTGATTGCTAAGGTTCGGGCTCGGTGTGCCATTTGGAAGTATCGGGCGAGGACGCTTCGCGGCAAAGTGGTTCTACTTCAAAGTATTATCCTACCTCTACTCTGGTACACAGCCGCCGTGACCCCGGTCACCCCGGCGGTGGTTACGAAGATGAACATCATTGTCCGCAATTTCGTCCACGGCCAGGATACCGATCTCGATAAGGCTGCGGCGGGCAAGTTCGAGCAGGATTGGATCTACACAAGTGTGGACAAGGGCGGCCTCGGTCTCAAACCGATCAAGGTCTTCACCCAAGCGATGCATCTCAAGTGCCTCCGAGACGCCATTGCAGCTACAAACGCGGCTGGGAATGCTCCGCGCTGGTTCGCACCGGCGCTGGACTTATTCACAGTAGCGCTCGGCTCTCTCGGCTCCGGGTTCGACATTCTCTACGCTAACCTACGCGGCTTGCAATGGGCGCCGTTGACCAAGTACTGGCGAGTTACGCTACGGTTGTGGTCGGACCTTACCATCTCCCATGGGACAACGGAGTGGAAACGCAACGTGCAGACGATGCCGCTATGGTTCAACATCTTCTTTTCGTTTGGGAAGGCGAGGACCCCTCTCAGCGAGGTGAGCTCGACGACCAACAGTGCGCTCAAGGCTCTCGGCTTCAATCGCCTACGTGATTACGTCTACTACCATGGTGACTATGCTACGGCGGAACTGCTACATGGTCTACTATCGGAAGATCTATTCGCCCGACCGCACTCGAAGACCCGACTGATCAACGATACGATGGCTCGCTTCAATTTGGTTACGCCTCTGGATGGCCCGCTCATCGGGCCAACTCGTGCGGACCACGTGGAAGCGGCTTTTCACGATTGGCATCTCGACGGGACACCGGTGATGGAAATGAAGAACAAACACTTCGTACGACTACTATTGAAGGCGCGTACGGACCCGAAGATCCCCACGCTCGCGTTGGAACAACTCGGCCTCAGTGACTTTACGCCCGCGGAAGACACATGGAACAGGGAGATCTTGTGGGATCGCCATGTCTTGCCAGTCTGCGCGGACCTCAAGTTTCGGCTTCAGCACAATGCTCTTGGCTTTCGCTACAAGTTCGCATGGCGCACGCAAGTTACTACGTCTACGACTTGCGTCCACGACTGCCCTACCACAGAGAATGCTTTGCATCTCTTTTGGGACTGTGTCGTGGCCCGCTATCAATGGGACTTTTACCTGCGGCCGTTTCGAGAACTCATTGACGGAGCATTCGATTGGCGTCTGGTTCTCTTTCCGAGTTCTATTCGACTTCAACTCTCTACGGTTCGAGTTTATGGAGACTATGCACTTCAGGCTATCTTCAGTTTTGTTCGATGCTGTGTTCTACGGGCACTTTGGCTTCATCGCAACAAGCGACTGTACAACCCGTCTGTCACGACTTCGGCACCCTTTGTCAAGCATCACGCGCTGGCCTACATCCGCCTACATCTACACAAGTTTCGATCAATGGCAACTGGAAAAGGAAAGGAGAAATGGGTGAGAGCAACGGATTTTATTACGGATGGATATGGTTTGGAGCGAATTACTACGTCTACTTTCACGGGCACGACTTCAGCGAGTGCAACTGACGGCGTCGTGCCATCGTCAGTGCAAGTGAGTGACGCTTAGTGAAAAGCCGGCCCACCACGTCAAGGTGGTCACTCGTCGGACCGGGAAAGGACACCCGGATTGCTCGGGGTGCCCCGAGAACGCGTCAACGTCCCCAAGGGAGGCTCAAAC